CAGCACAGTGACCCTGTCCTCAGGAGTAAGTGCCAGGCTGTTTTAGGAAGGTAACTTGACCACTGTTTGGGAACTGCATGTAGACACAGGACTGATGGGTGCAGTGGGCCTCCAAGATGGTATCTTAGGGAGCAATTGGAAATGCTGAGCCAAGAAGGTGTACCCAGGGAAAATGACCTATGGGAGAGCTGGAGGGAGATCTCAGAAAAGCGAGCAGCCTGGGCAACCTATCAAGTCTTGCAGGGAAACCTGCTAATAGATGCCCCTTCCCCCTCAGTCTCCACCTGGGCTCTGCCTGTCCTGGCTGGCCCTTGGCCTGTCCTGAGGACAGGAGCTCCCACTGCTGTGGCAGGCAGCGGATGGGATGGCCCTTGTCAGAAGTGTGCATAGTGGGGCAAGCCTGGTCGAGAGCCCCACAGCTCTCAGAGCATCATTCTTTCCAGCGCTGTGTCACTACAGAGACGCGTGTCAGGATGGGTCACAGGCCACAGCTGATGGCTGCCCTTTAGAATGACCTGCTCCAAGGCTGGCCCCTCTCTCTTTGTCACTTGGGCAGGACACACAGTTTGGAATAAATGATTGCCAGTGCTGGGGATGTGTTCCTCTGTACTAGAACAGAGCCCTTGCAGCTCAGCACCAGAGATAGGTCTCTGAGCCTGGTCTTCCTCCTGTGTAAGCATTCCTTAGCCTGGGGCTCAGCAACCCTCTCATGTATAGCAGGGCCCATCAGAAAATAAGTTTTTTACTGGCACAGTGAAACTGTCATTGACACAGGGACAAATGGGCCAAGGTAGTTTCCTAGCACCTGGGCAGCTCTGAAGCCTATCCTCTTTTGTATTCAGCAGCTACAAGAAAAAGAATTTGTTCCCAGTTAGTAAATGAGATTTAGTTAATAAATTGGCACATGTGAGCAAGCTGCCAGTCGTTGCCATGCAATGCAATAAATGAAGAGATGGAAGCTTATTATTTTACAAGAAGAAGCTGTTTTGTTACAGGATGAGGTGCAGGAGAAATGTTTTTTTTTGGCAGGCAGTGGCCACATTTGGTGATCTTTCATTTCACGTATCTTCACGGGGCAGTCAGAATACAGCCAAGTCTGCTGAACTGTGCAGGGAAGCCCCTTCCTGACAGCTCCATCACCACCAGAGCCCTCAGGCATGGGGGGCTCCTGTCACTGATGCAAGCCCCAGTATAATATCTACAGAAGAAGCCACATCAGGTTACCCTGTACAGCTGCTGTATAGGAAAATCTGTTATGTTAGAATGTAAAACTGCAGGAGGAAGAAGGAAATTTGGAAATCCTGGGAGCAAATCCATTATCAGACCTATCTTATGGGGCCCCATTCCTTTGCTCCTTATTGATCCTGTAACATAAAATTCAAAAGTAGTATCTCTTACTGGATAAAACACTAGTTAGTTTCTAAAATATCAAACTTAAATATGATACTGAGAGACTGAGACAGCAACAGACTTCTAAGGTGGGGAACTGAACTGTAACTTGGAGGACTAAATGCAACAAACAAAAGCATCCCAGCTCTGCTCTGAAGTGGGTATAACTTTGCAGGGTCCTTAGAGGACACTATTGCTCCTCTTCCTTACAATGGTCTCCTTGAGAGGCTTCATGTGCACAGATTCCACAACTGACATTTGGCCAAGCCACGAAGCACTATGAAAGTCAAACCTTGGGCTGGGAGCAGCACACCATCTGTTCAGGCCTGAAAGACAGGAAATCACTATCACAACTACAACCTAATCATGATCAGCTGTCTGGCAGCTGACAAGAACACACAGTGTCTGGTGAAGAGCAAAAATGCCTATCAGCTGAGCCCTGCAAGAGAGAAATGAAGTGTCTGATGGACTGAGGGAGAAGTACAAGAGCGGATAGCTAAAACAAGGCTAATGAAAAAGCAGAGTGATGTGGTCCAGTCATAACCAGAGAGCATCTACACAAGGTTCCTCCACTTGCACCTATACACCTGTACTTTGTACCTCTAAGTTGAGCCTGTTTTGTCCTTGAAGAGTTTTCTCCCAGTCTCTATCTCAGCTCATAAACCCTTCCTTAATTTTTTTGTCTACGCTGCCCACCTGTGGCACGGGAGGGTGAGGAAGTGGCTTTTGTGGGTGCCTGGCGCTTGGACAGTGCCAAACCATGACAACACCTCTGGTTAAATTTACATCCTCCATGAAACAGTGGCCAGGAAGTAGTCAAATATGTCTGCAGGAACAAAACCAAAGCCTACAGCAGAGATGGGAACCAAGCACTACATGTGAACTCTGGAGGACAGGAACTAAAACATGCACTGGATAGAGAAACTTAATCTCTGAGAAAGTATGGAAGACGTTCTGTGAAAAGGACACTGATAGCAGATCCCTGAAGAGACCAAAGTCAGCTCTACTGAACTCCAGGGTAGAAGTAGCAGTATTTTACTTTATTTTAATTATTGAGCTGTTCTTATTTCAATCTACAGAAAAATACCCTTTTTTCTAATTCTCCTTCCCCTCCCTCTATGGGGGGAGGGTGAGCAAACAGTTGTGGGACTGAGTTTTTGGCTGGGGTTAAGCCATGACAACATCTGCTGTTCAAACACATTTGCTGCATTTATCTATTTGCAGAACCTTGTTATCCCAGGAGCATCTGATCATCCACAGCCATTGTGGGTGTAGATACTCTAGACACACTGGGGAACTGACCTCAGGACAGTTCTCTGTGAAAAGACTTAAATCCGTAATGAGTTTATCACTTCCTCACTTGGCTAAATAGTGAATGCCAAGGAAAAATACACTACTGCTAGTTACTGTAACAGCCTACTTGGGGTCACAGAATCATTGAGGTTGGAAAAGCACTCTAAGACTATCAAGTCCAACCATTCCCCTGCCAAGATCATCACTAACCCTTGTCCACAAGTGCCACATCTACACATCTTTTGAATCCCTCCAGGGATGTTGACTCACCACTGTCAGGAGGTGAACAATCCTCTCTGGAAAGAATTTTTTCCTAACTTCCTATTCCCATCTAAACCTCCCCTAGCACAACTTGAGGCTGTTTTCTCTTGTCCGGTCACTTGTTACCTGGGAGAAGAGCCCAACCGCTACCTGTCAGGGAGTTGTGCAGAGCACTAAGGTCCCCCCTGAGCCTCCTTTTCTCCAGGCTGAGCTCCTCCAGCTCCCTCAGCTGCTCTTCAGACTCATGCTCCAGCCCATTCCCCAGCTCCATTTCATTCTCTGGACCTGGCCTGCTGCAAAACTGTCATCTTTAAACACCTTTTTGAAAGCCACACCTAAACAAAATGAAATTTAATTTTGGACAAACTGGAAGATAAAAAAGGCGAAAAACTTTGAACAGAGACATTATGTGCTGTGATGGTACAGCAGCTATTCCTTGAGCAGCACAAAGCACAGTCTTGCCTGTGCTCAGCTCTGCACAGGAAATGTAGACTTTGTCCATCATTGTTGTTTCCTTATTGATGATAACAGACATAGATTGTCCTGGAATGTCTCCTCCACTTTTCATTTCAAGCTTGCAGTTTCAATCAAAGTACTCTCTTAAAAGGTATTTTGAGGAATTTTTTGCATTTCTGTTATGTATGTAAGAAGCCTTAATTGTTTCCAAAATAGCTTAGTTTCAGATAGCTTCAGCATTCAAGGTATTGCAGCAACACAGGTGCCATAAAACACATGATGTTGGATCACACCTACAGACTTCCACAAGTAAACATGAATCCTGTGTGCTGATCTTGGCCAAGACACAGTCAATGCACCCAATACTTAGGGAAACAGAAAGCATGTTGCATTTGAGTTAAGATGAATGGCTAACTCCAGGAACACTGAACACCCTAATGGATCATAGCAAAAGGGAAACAGTACCACAGAGGACAGGTAGGAAAAGTCCCTCTTTTCCCAGCTCAGCCCCATGGCCTGTTAGAGCTGCCACTTAGGGAGAATCTGACACTCAGGGCAATGCTGACCAGCCTGTCACTTGTTCACAGACACAGATCCAAAAACCAGGGGTAGCTGGGTGCAGGCCAGGCTGGCTGCAGGGACAGGAACAAGCACAGTGTCTGTGCCATGCAGGTTTGGAGGCTGCGGGCAGGGCAGTCTGGTCCTCATCTCCTGTGGGCAGGTGGAAGCAGAGTCCAGGCCAGGAAGGTTTTTGCAGAGACAGCGATGGTGATGCAAGCCATGTTTTCATGTCATATGAAGGGAATGGGCAGCACCTCCCAGAAAAACAAAGGCTCTTTCTTCAAGAGCTGTGGCTACAAAATCACTTCTCTGTGGCTGAAGTGATTCAGGACGTGCATCTCTAATGGTGAAGGACTGCAGCAGGAGCACTCAAAGCCCTGACCCAGAGGAGGCTCCTGCAGGCACAATGCTCTCAGAGGAGGCAGTGCAGAGTCTGGGGAACAGTACATCCCCCACTTCAGGAGGCCCATATCACTGAAGAAACTGAACTAGAAGTTTAAAGGCTGCTATGATACATCTAATTTTGTTTTTTAACAGTTGCTGTCCTTTTTCTCCTGTCTTTCTTTTCTTTCTGGAACAATAACAAGAGCAGATAGGCCTTCTTTAATCTGCTCCCAGGGAAAGGTGGAATGCTGATTGCTTGCTGTGCCTCTTTTGGTCAAGCATTTTTATCCTGAATTGCTATGGGGAAAGGTCTTGGCTCTTCAGGCAGCAGCTTTTGTCTTTTTGTGAGCTGAAGGGTTTTTCCCAAAGTGAGTACTGAAATGCTTCAATGATCTTTAAAAAAACATTGTGCAGATTTTGTGAGATTTCAGACTGCAGTAAAAGCAAAATTTAACACGCTGAATGTCATTTTTTTTAAGGAGTTAAGCAAAAGGCTACTGGAGCTGTCAGAGTTTAAGCTTCAACCTTTATGTTTACAAAGCAAAAAGGGCAATTAGATGTGGAAAAATAAATTTTTCCAGGACTCTGCCAGCAGCTGTGGTTTGTACTCAGACTTCTGAATGACAGGCTAGTTTAGTGCCGCAGGCAGAGAGTCAGTGTAGAGCAGCCCTGACATTTCTTTGATGCTAAGCAGTGTACCCTAATAAAGATGTGCTTTGAAGTCACTCCCTCTTGCCTGGCATGCAGGCATTACAGAACATTCCCAGGGCAGCAGGACTGGGACTGGCTGCATGCTCCAGGCCTCCCATGCTTGGCATTCTGCTTCCCTCCTTGCCTCAGACTTTCTTCACACATCCATCCACTGAACCTGAGGAAGAAAGTTTTGGAATAAATTAAAGATATGGCTAATAGGCAAGTTCTGTGCTTTTACCTCCCAGCTATTTCACAAAGCCTGTTTTCACCAAGGAGTTGAGGACAGAAGACCTCATGGTCCTGTAAGCAGAGTCCATGAATGAGCACAGCCCAGCCTGTGGCAAGGACGGGTGCCCAAGCTTGCACCCAGTCACAGTCCTCCAAGCACCTGCACGGGCAGCTAAAGGCAGGCCTGCTTTCTCAACAGATGGAGCAAGCTCCTCTTGGCTCTTTCCTGTGCCCCCTTTCAGTCAGTTTTGAGCCTGTGGCAAGGCCAGCAGAGCCCCTGTGAAAGGAGGGCATGGACTACAGACAGCAATTCCCCAGCGTCAGCTCTGAGGTCCTGGCTGCCATTCAGGGAAGGACTGCACTCCCTTCCCATTCCCTTTCTATCAGCCTCCTGTTCTTCATGCATTTCTTCTCTCTGCAAAGACCAAAGTGCAAAAAGAGAAATGAACAGAAGTGGGGGAAGGCACTGGGAAGCCCATCTCCAAGTGTGAAGTGACAGCAGATGGCAGAGGCACTGCTCCCTGGCAGATGAAGAACGTGTCAAAGGCAGTCATTGCAGCAGCCTGCCTGACTGCCTTGGCTCCCAGCTGCCAGCAGCCGTTGACCTGGATCTCCCAGTACACAGCAAATTCTTGAGCCTCCTCCCACAAAGCTACAGACACAGGCACTGGGGCAGCTCCTTAACCCCTCAGGAAGGATGCAGCAGTGCAGGGTCAGACCATGGCCCTGCAGCACAAATCTGCTCAGCGCTGCCTGGGTATGAACTGCTCCTCACATGCTCAGCGAAGTAACATTGTTCCCTCTGCCATTTACTACCCAGAGCATCAGTGGCTCATGCCAAGCACAGCTTTTGGCAGACCTCCATACACAGCCTCAAGCCTGGGCATACAGGGCCGGGAGGGAGCAGGACCAGAGCAACAGCAGCATTCAGCTGCCAGTGGGCAGAAGACCACAGTCCTACCTCAGAACTGGAGCCTGGCATCCCAGAGTGAAAACTTAATTAATTATAGCACTAAGCACTGCTGTGATGCCTTTACATTTACAAAGGTCTGGGTAAACACTAACTAATTAAACTACTCTATTTAGCAATTATATAGTTATTTAGGTTTTCCAGATACTATGCACACATTAGCTAATTAATCTACTCGATTATTTCCATGTTTTATATTCCAGATCACTGTACACTGGTGGCATGAGGAGGAAACCTTAGCAGGGACAGTAGAAAGCACACTCAGATTTAGGTGCCTGACATATTTTGGGGAGATGAACTGAGAAGGTGCCAGCAGTCCTGGACAGTCCTTCCACCACAGCCAAGAAAAGTAGACAAGTCAAAACTAAAGAAATATGAAGCATTTTCCATCAGAAAGATCCTAAAAGAACTGATCCTAAAAGAACTCTCCAAACAAGGATTAATGTGCGCCCCCTCATGCAGAGCCACAGCTCTCTGTTTATTTCATTTTAACATTGTCAACAGCACTTGCTGAGGTACTTGCTGTGTTCTGCTGACCTCCACTATTTGGGATGGCATGTGAATTGATTGCAGTTGAAAGATTCTTACTGGAATAAAATGAGCTTCTCAATTATTGCCATCCAAATAAATCCCTGTGTTCCAGAGATGTCCAACAGAAAGCACTTCCATAACCCCAAGTTCATGACAACAGGTACCTCCAGCTTGCAAAATACACATGGAACTCCTGGGACTGTACTTCCTTTGACTACTTTGTACTTGACGGAGAAGCTCATGCCTGTGAAAGGCAAGTGCCTCGCCCATAGTTCTGGCAATTATTTAGAGTTACATTAACATACGGATCAAGCATACTGCCTAATAGACCCATAGTATTTATTTTTCATTATAACCTATTAAAGATGGATTCTCTCAAGTTGCTGTAATAGAAGAAAGCTTTCTGAAAAGCTGATTTAAATAGAACTACTCATGTTTTTGTGTACCTGAAAAGATTTTTCTTTTGACTGATATAGTGAGCACTGCCTATGGGCACTAGTAATTTGAGTTCTGATAAAGTTGGCATTGGCATTATAACACTAATTAGTAACTAGTTTTTAAATTTGAATTAACTAGAGGACTACGCATCTGAGGTTAAAAACAAAACAAAACAAAACAAAACATTCATTAAACATTTACCTGTGCTTGGACTTGCACACCCCGGCCTGATTCTGAAGAACAGCAAGTGTTCACTCACATCTCAGCTCTGCCCCACAGGTGACAGCAGTGTTGCTTCCAGAGCAGCATTTGACCTAAGCAGATGGGCACCCAGAAGCCCAATTCCTCCAACAGCTGCATTCACATCCATTCCTGAGAAAATGGGGCATGGGAACACTGCAGAAGGGAGCAAATGGGGCAAGGGGGAGCTGGAACAAGGAGCCAGGTAGCATGCCACAGATCCTCCCAGAGCATCTCAGCATTGCTCTCCCCACAGCAGGAAAAAACACTCAGGGCACGGGACAACTGAACAGATTTTGTTCCCACAGGAAAGACCTAAGAGAAAATTTTAATCAGCAAATGTAAACAGATAACAAAACTGATACTGACACGGCCAAACAGTAGTGCAGAGCAGCAGTAACCACTGAAGCCTTTGCTCCCTGGCATGCATGGCTTTCCCAGCAGCAGCATTCTCACCATCCTATGCCACCTCCCCCTCAGTGTCCTCTCATGTTGTCTGAAGATGCTGTACAAACCTGCAGGGAGATGAGAAGCAAGCAACAGGACAGCTCCAAGCACCAGCACTTCTCAGTCCCACTCTGGAATACCAGGACAGAGAAGCCATGTTTTGCATACCAAGGATGCCTAGCAGAGGAGAGAGGATCTTTGCTGGGGAGAGGGTCAGTATCGAAATGAGGACAAGGCCAAAGGAGGAAGATGGACATCCAATGCTTCTCTGTTACTGCTCAACTGGGAGCAGGGAGATTTTCATGGTCCACCACGGCCCCTTCATAAGATCCAATCAGACAGGAAACAAGCAAGAGGCTCTTTCCCAAGGCTTCCCAAGTCCTCGGTTGCAGACAGATACAATGAGCTTGAGATTTGAAGGGTTCCACACGTCCTCTGCAATAAGCAGCACCAGCATGAACAAGTTATGACACATTTCTGCCACAGCAGAAAACAACTACATGGTCCAACGGACAAAGGCCAGAAGCTGGGATGCGGCACCTGCCAAGGACCAATGATCACAGCAGTCTGATTTCAGCATCACTCCACAGCTGAATCTGCCACACCATCCCCAGCCTGCTTGGACCAGCACCCTACACACCTGTGCAGTCCTGCATCCCCGCTGCTGGCTCAGGCCACGAGCCCAGCATTAAATCTGTGCTCAGCAGCTGCTTCCTGCTCTCTGCTCTTGGGCCATCCCCTCTGCACCTGCCACGTGGAAAGGAAAGCAAGGCTAAGAACCTGGACAAGAGATAAGGAAGCCATGGTGCTGTGCCTACTGCTTTTGGGGGAGTAAAGGGTGAATCATAACTTCATCAGCCTACCAGGAAAAGAACCAATTATCTGGCAATTGTATGTAGTCCATTTCAGTGAGAGGCTCATAACCTAACCAGCCCTCGCAGTCAGGGGGAATAAAATATATGCTGACATCAGTATACAGAGATTCCCATTGGAAGCCACTTTCACTGCAGTGTCATGAATCTTTTCAGAAGCAGCTTGAAAAGATTCACTCAGTGTATCAATCTTCCTGGGGAGTAGAGCTGATGATGGTTGTACATAATAATGCCTAAGCCAATTCACATGCACTGCTAGTGGTTGTCTACAAGTCCTGGCCATAATTAGTGCATTAAATATAAACATATAACTAATAACTCTGAAAGACCATCTCCAGGGGCAGTGAAATCCTCTGCCTTGGCCACTGTCAGCTCCTCAGGTTTCTTCTATAGTGGCACAATCTCCCCATGATTCCAAGAAGGAGAATGGAAAACCATAACTCTTCTCTTTGTTCAGGTGACACATTTTTATGAGCCAAATTCTTTACTTTAGGTTTTGATGGTGATTCTGAGACTTTATGTTTGTCCTGTAATCACAGCACTCCTCTAAAGCAGGAGCAGAGCCCATAACTGCTGCTGCCTTAGTCAGCTTGTGCTGGAGGAGGCAAAGCTGCCTCACTGCAGCCCCCTGAAACAACCCTGGCTGCCCTTGCTGGGGTACCATGGGTGCCCAGCTCTCCACGATGAAGCGGGCTCCTCTCTGCAGCCAGCCAGCCTGGACAGGCGGACCTGCACTCTCCCACTCTTCTGGCATGAGGAGCCCAGGAGCTGTAAGCCCAGCTTCAGCTAATGGAGCAGGTGACTGGGAGCTCTCTGGATCAGGACCTCCCAAGCAGCCAGGATTTCTTGAGCAGTATTTGTATTTTCATGTAATCACACATACTCCTTGGGGGTGGCACATTGGCAAGGTGAAACAAGCTTAAATGCCACATCTTCTGCAGAAAGCATGTGATGCATCCTTACCAGACATCCATGTGCTCCAGTACTGCTGGGACCACTCACTCCACGTGCAGGAAAATCCCTCTAGAAGCAGCATAATGCTGTTGCAGACTTTCCCATGTAATAGAGTCTGTGTGTCTTTTTCTTTCTTTTTTATTCTTGTGGGGTTTTTTAACAGGTAGTAAATCACCTTAAAACTTCCCCTTTCATCATTACACAAACAAAATCTGACCATTAATCCCCTGTTTATCCTGTGTGCACACATAGCTCTGGTTACTGCAACTGTGGGAGTCCCCCAGTTACTCAGTGAAATAAGCAGGCACCTGGTTTGTGCTGCCAGAGGAATGTGACATTTGAGAGAGAACACAGTATTCCCCCTTCCTTACCTTGGTGTGTGCTTTACTGCTGGCCATAGGTATGCCCTGCACTCAGGCCACTGAGGAGGTAACGCAGGACACTCCAGAGGAGGCAGCCCCTGAGCATGCTGTGAGCTCACTCTGGGGACACTACACTGCCATCACTTGTCACAAGTTTGTAGGAATGAAGTGTCATCCTAGATCACAGTCTTGTGAGTGACTTTCTGTGAAGAAAGGGAATAGAAAAGAAAGCATCTTACAAAGCAGATTATAGCTGCCTTCACCTTCCCCACCTCTGTATGACTGAGGTGCAGCTCCTGATACACTGGCTGTGTCCTGGTTTTGTGGGCAGTAGCTCTGAGCTGGGACCCTCTGTGCCATCCTCCATAACAACCACACTGAGGGTAGGAGAGCCCAGATTGGGTGGCCAGGCCAGATCAAGTCCAAATCCAGTGTTAAGAGCCCTTTATATGTTGTTTTCTACAGCAGCTGAATCACAGATGCTGCTTCACCAAGCTTGAGATTCATCAGCCATTGCTAGTGTTTCACACAGTAACAAAATAATATTTTAAAGAAAGCAAGTACACTGGCTTCTGGGTCTGCCATCCCCCACTGAAGCCTGGCAGCCTGCCTGCTGCCAGGCCTGACAGGTAGGCAGAGATGGGAAAACCCCTCATGGCTCTTTTTATTGTGATAGCCCTATATGAAGCTGCAAACATATCTGTCACCTTCCAGCACATTGTTTACCAGCTCTCCTCAACATTCCCCAAACAATATTTTCTAGAGACTGTAATTCAATACCTCACACCCCAGAGCTGTAGCATCAGCCCAGAGAGCAGCATGATGAATCTATTGTCTTCCTCCTGAGCTTGGTCTTGGGAACTGGTTTATGCTGTTCCAGCTGTTAATTATCCCTCTGCTTTTTGCTATTCTCATCCCACCTGTGCCTCTGTATTTATCATATGGGTCTACATGCACTAAAAACATTCTTACTCTTTAAAGTATAAGGAGTAATTTATCCCTTTTGTGCAACACAAGGAAGCTCAGGGGACCAAATGGCAAGACTTGATCAATAAGGCACTCACTAGATTAGAGGCACTGGGCCTCAGACCTCAAAGTGCTTGTTTAGAAGAAATGCAAGAGAATGAACTAAGAATGATAAGTACAGACACAAATACAATTTCCACCACTCTCCCTTCCCCATCCCTTCCCCAGCCTGCACCCCAGAGACATCCTCACACTAATCATTGCTGAGGACACCCTCCAGAGCCAGGCCAGCCCAGGTCAGGCTACTCACTGGGAAGAACTGCTCCTGCCCTCACAGGCATGGCAGCGCTGTCTCTGCAAGCAGCCAGTGCACAGGAGGAGCACCCCACTTTGCTGGGAAGCAGCACACCAGCCTCCATCTGTTCAGCCCCCAGCACCCACTCAGCACAGAGCACTGCTCTCAGGCGGGTGTTACCTGGTCTCACCCAGGGAGTTGCAGCCAGAATACTCCTGCTCACTCCAGAGTCCCACCATGGTTCACTCACTCCCCCAAACCTTTAGTTAGTGTGAAGCATAAATGTTGAAGGCTGTACATTCACTTTCATAGCATGCGATCCAGAGGACCAACCAGGTAATTTAGAGGTGCCAACACCTGTCCTTCATGTGTTTCTAGTGACCATATCTTAGACCTTTGTCCACACTGTACTGCACCCTCCCTTTCTCACCACTCCAGTACTGCTGCAGGGCTTTCTCACATCTATGCTGAAGTCTTGTTCTCTGCTTATAATGACAGCTTGGATTTCTTAGGAAACCTGCAGCCTTAGGGAACAGCCATGATGTACCCAGCTCAGGATCACTGGCAGGATTGTTGTCCTGCTTTCCACCCCTGGCCAAGAGACTTCCACTGAGGCACCACACATCTCACTCCTTACAAAAGTGAGGGGTTGTTGCTGACCACAAGGACACTTTGGTTCCAAGGATCTCATACAGATAATTAAGACCCATGCTGCCACTTCTTGCACTGGGAATTGCTGATATTTAATGGCATTTCCAAAATATTTTAATAGAAATTTCACGTCTTGTTTCTAATATGACATTTATCTTCTATTAGCATGAAAACAAATAGAAAAGCCTGAAAATCATTGCTTATATTATAAATTACTTTATTGTTGGTTATTACTTTCTCCATTAAGCTGTCACAATCTGTGCCTCCTCCCATTTTTGTGATGGCCAGCCACTGAAATCCATCATGTTTTCCATGTGATTTATACAGGACCCTAGTGATAACTTTATTCACCAGGAGGATAATTATCAGCTATATTATTAAGGCTGCTCAGTTGCCCTAGGGGATAATGTGTCAGAAAGGTTAAAATCTTGACAAGCAATAGAGTATGTATTACAATTACACTGGTGCCAGGATAGATAACTGACTGTTAGCAAGGAACTGAGCTACATCTTTGCAGCCTTTTCCCAGTAAAGACAGCAGTGCTGTGGTCACACTGAACACATCCCTACAGGACTGCAGCAGCCTACGCCCATCATCTGGAGGGGACTCCAGTAAAGGGACATGCCCCTTCTCATTCACATATATTGACCATTTAAGCCCTGACAACTGTGCCCTCAGTGAGTTTCTTTTTGATTCATAATTTAACAGGATGTGTAGCTGAAGTAGCGGAGGTTTTTCCATAATCCTTCTGTATTTCTTCCCATGTCCCCTAAAAAAGCTTTTCTTTGTAAGAATGGCAGAAGGAGGGAGAGGAAAGAACTGGCATATTTGAAATGAAACATAGATTTCTTCTGGGACTGGAGCAACCAGGTGCATGCCTTATTGGTATAATGGTATATAGGTATAATCTGAAGGATATTGCTGAGATAAATTGCTTTTTGGTTCAGGCACTAACAAAACAAAGTGCTGAATAACTTGGCACTACATCTAAAGTGAGACCATAAAACTAACCTTGGTCATTCCTCCAGTTCTACTATTGTTACATGAAGAAAAGTAGACCGGGGATGGAAGAGCTCATAAATAATTCCTCATGGAAAGCACGTACACCAGCCAGACAAAATCTCTCTCTGAGAAAATGTGGAAAAGTAGTAGACTTAACCTACTTCAAAATGTCATTTTTTGAAGAAAGAAAAAGCCAATCCATGTCTCTTTCTTGATGCTTAAAGGATGTGCCTGTACCACAGCAGCATGTTAAGCACCAAGCCCTAGACCTGGCTTTCAGCAGCTGAAAGAATTTGTTTCCTCAAGCTCTGCCACTTCCCTCCAGTATAATCATATTGGAAATAGATGGTCACCTATGGATAAACATGACTGAACAAGAACTGTGAGACATTTAATAAACTACGTTGTTTAACTTTCTTCTGCTAAGGAAGTGCCAATGACTACAGAAACTGTATTTACCTCAGGTTCATCTACATTTCAGTGGATTTGTCCAGGGGAACATAACTAGTGTGGAGGACTGTAGTCCTAGAGATGAGGGTCAGAGCTCTAGCCCAGCCAGCCTGAGACACCCTGAAGCATTTCTCTGGAATATGAGCTCGTGCCACCCTTTCACTGGTCCTTTGAATGAGTCATGGATGCTGGAGAATTAGAGGTAATTCAAAAAATATCATTTCTCTGTTCACCACAAGTATAAAACGTGAGAGCTTTTGGCTTTCTTTTATTCAGACCAAGAAGCCTTGTGTAATAGATGCAGCCTTGTGCTCATCAGCAACAGTTTTTCAACCCAAGAGGTGCAAGACACACCCCCGGGGCAAGAAGCAGATTCAAGAGCCCTGCAGTAACTCCTAATCCTGCCAAAAATTAGCTACAGTGAGCCTACAAGGCACTCCAGCTCCCCTCTGCAGACTTCCTGGAGTCCCACAGGAGATGCTTAATGCAGTTCTGGAGGAGAAACTCCTTGAGTACTCACAACCATATCTGTCTCCAGGCTTAACATTTACCCTAGAGCTGGACAACTTATTTATGCAGCATACTGCTCAGGGCTTCAAATGACAAGACCTCTGCAAGGGTGACCAGGGAGCTTGCCTTCCTGCCTGATCCCCAGGCTTTTCCTCTTCCATCCAAGGAGTTTTCTGGCACTCAGCAAAGTATCAGAGCCAAGCGTGACTTAAGGACCTATTCGTGTCACCCCCAATGCCAGCTTCAGCACAAACGCACCAAAGTCCTCAGAGCATGCCATCAGCTCCCCATGCAAGGGGGTTTCCACAAAGAGGCATGACTGCAGTCAGTGCTCCCCTCACACAGGGAGGAAGGCTGAACTCCCAGAAGGGCTCCTTTTCTCTGAAAATTTGTTGTTAACTTCCCTGATGACCCCCACACCATGTGCTGCAGGAGGTGTTAAAACATGGACAGATAACCAAGAGTCTCCTCAGATGACAGCTTTGTGGGACTGATTTAGAATGCCTGGCTCAGCCTGGCCACAGCTGGTACTGCCCAACACCCTGTGAGAGGATGAGCAAGACATGAGCAGCACGAGCTGCAACAGAAGCTCATTTGGTCCACAGGCACCTTGGGAACTGAACGTGTTTTACAGTGTCACATCAGCACACAGAGAACAGATGACATAAACAGAGGTGAATTAAAACCCACGTCTCATGAAGGCAAATGGCTGTGCATGCAGCATCTACTCAGCCTGCAGTTTCAAATCAGCAGAAATTTTAAGTACTACCATTTATAAAGGTTCATCTTCACCTTTTGTTTGACCATAAATCTCTGAAGCTCACCTTGTTAAAGAAAAGTGTGGAACAGCAGGAGTCTTGTACCTCTGCCACACCTCCCCCGGTGCATTTCTCTCTGATGCATTACAGATCATTTCCAGGAGAGCTACATCTGCATTACAAAGCATGAATACTCCTTTCAATAACAGCAGTGTCCACCACATGCCTGACAGGAGACAGAGTATTTCATTTGCATTCACCTGCTCCCACCATCAGCTCAGCCTGCTCTGGGCAACGACTCCAGGAGGTGTTTCCTAGGTGTGCCACAGGGAGCAAGAGCACTGGGCTATTTGGTAGGAGTTTTCCTGGGCTTGTCTTTGGCCCATTATTAAAATGTCCAGACAAAATCACAGAGAGAGGCAGCCTGGGGAAGGCACAGGTAGATGGTCACTACATCTTCTCTCCTACCAGAAGCATTGAAGGCTGAACTCCCTCCTCATTTGAAAGAAACACTTCATATTTACTGACAGAGAATTAGACAACACAGACTGTAAGAGGAAAGCATAGTTAAATAACACACTGTCCATGGCACAATGCATACAAATGCCTACGTTGGCTCTCTGTATACTATCATCTAGCATTATAATACTTTGCGGAGCACCAGAAGACTGTCTCCACAGGGCTATTACCTCTGACTCCTGATAAAATCTTTCCTGAAGTATTTTCATTCTATTGTGCCTTGCAGATGTTTCCCTTTTTAATTTCTCAGAGACAAGTAATTGCATCTCTGAGAACATTCTTCAACAACACTCTGTTTACTGCCAGATCTCCTTTCTCAGCTAGTACTGGTTATGTTTATCCTTGTTTATCAGATGGGAAAACTGCAGCCCAGGCCCTTGGTTTAGGTTAACAGCACAAACATGTTCAAATAAAAATCGGTTTTATATTACTGGAAGCCCAATAGCTATAAAAAAGATGGGAAACATGAAGTCTTCTCACAGCACAAGGCTCCCTGGCACTGGGCTACAACAGAAGACTGGAGAGCACTGATGGTATAAAGTCACTCCCCCACTCAGCTTCTGCCACAGAACCTGCAGCCAGAATATACCTGTTTGCATGCAGGTCACAAGCCTCTGTCGTTACTGGGTTGCAGCTGCTGGGAACATACAAATCACTCGGTGCCTCTTCAGGGAACCCAATCCCACAGGACTGGGAAATTCCTCCTACCAGCTGCTGTCCATTTGTGCTATAGTCAGCATAAATCCAGGAATCAATATTACTGCTTATAGGAATTACAAGCATTAAGGATGTTAGATAGAAGGTGAACTTGCCCTTTCCTAGAGCTAAATGCCTCTTCATGGCACTTAAGCAGCCTAGCAGTAATCTGTCCTTGCTGGATGTACAATCACAGAGGCTCTGCCAGTACTATAAACAGATGTGGAGAGCAGAACCAGCACCTCAGAGGACAGTACATCAGCAGAGCAGGTGCCAATGTGACCAAAGAAAGTCTGAGAAACAGAGCTCCTTCTCAAGGGAGATAGTGCAGAAAGGTGCCAAAGTCTCTTCCCTTCCTCATGGGATAACATCAGACTGAAATAAAAAACACAGAGCAAAGGTGTCCCCTGTTCCTAAGGGAGGTAGAAATTGCAGGATTCACCTACCCTGGACCCAGAAGCACTGCTGTTGAAATCTCCAGTCTTCACAGCCCACAGACCCCTACCTGTACAGAAAGTCCACTTCTACTAAGATATATATAATGAGGCGTTTTGTCCAAGCTCACCTGTAAGAAGAAACACATTTACTTGTCCATTTCCTTCAGTGAGCTGTAAACACACTTCTGATACAGCCCTTTGACAATGGCATCCTTGCTGCAGCTGAGACTGGCAAGTCGATGTTAGTGACCTCACACTGTCCCCCTGGGTAAGTGCAGGGCATGTTTCCAACTCACAGGCTGACAAACTTGCAGAGTTGCGTAGGCCAAGTAGAAAGTATAGGAGGCATTCTTCCTCCCAAAATTAAATAAACCTTATGTGAAAAATGCCACTTGGAGTGTCTTGAGCTGTCAATTGCAGGAGAAAGTGATATTGATTTCTACAGAAACTTTATTTGAGTAACCTATTAAATGAAACTTATTTGACACAGATGACTCCAGCAATTTAATTCCCAAGTGAAGTGTTGTCTCCAAGGCTTTGTGATGTTTTTTAACCTGAATGATGAAAAGCATTTTCCTTACAGCCATTTGCTGATGGATCTCAGGGTGTTTGTAAATAAAGTCCTCCAAAGAATCCAGAACATGCTTTCACTGGCAAAGTGCAGCTGATACCCCTGATACCCCAGAACATACCAGGCTTTAGGAGTAAAGCTAAAGGTGCAAAGAGCCTGACAAGAACTGCCAGATTCTGTGGCTTCCACCTGAACAAAAGTGCTGAGAAAAGCCCCAGGATCCAGGAGTTCAGTGGCTGCAGGTGTCACAGTCCTGCCCCAGCCAACACTTGTGCCAGGGCAGCCTAGCTCAGGACTGAGGTGTGCTCAGACCTCAAAACCTCCTCACCTTCCTCCTGCACATTTCTATCCCCAAGTGCCTCAAGGCAAAGCTAGAGCTTCAGAGGCATTTGCTTTTCAGTCCAGCCCCTCCGCACTGCACCTTGAAAACTTGTTAGCTGGCTGTGATCACGAAGCTGCCTGTCATGCTTCAGGGGCCACTCACTTCTGCTCAGCAAATGTTTTACACAATTATTTTTTTTTTAAATAAGCCAATTTACTTTTTATTTGAAATTTACATGAAACAATTAAATGGCAAAAGTGTCAGATTCCATTTCTTTCATCAAAACAGCTTAATCATGTCTAGAGAGTCAGCACTAACAACCCCAGCCCTTTGGTTCTCACAGCCCCAAGAGCTCGTGCTGCAGCACCAGACCAGCTGTGCAGAGCCCTGGCTCTGTCACATGCTCTGCAAGGGCTGCTTGTGCTGTGAGCTGATTGTCAGCAGTTCTCACCCCGAAGTCCCTCCCAAGGGCCCTGCGTGGGCAGAGACGTACACTTACCTGTTCACTTTAATCCTTCTGTTTAATCCTTCCAAAGAAACAGGAGCTAAGATTGCCTCATGTTTTGGGAAGACTTTTCCAGCTGTATGCTGCAGGAGAGGGATGAAAACCACAGCATCTGCATATAGGAGAAGCCTTCTATGGTGTTCTGAACAATGTGTAGGTCAAGAAAAGCCACAACTTGGTTGTAAATGTGCCCATGAGAATTCCACAAAGTTCTGGAGCTCAGCAAACACCTAAAACAAGGCTAAGGAGGGGGAAAAAAGCACTGCCCATGGTTCTGGGTTAGATGGCATTCTCCCACTAGGAAGCCTCACAGCACTGGATGCTGAGCAGACCTGGGCAGGTAAATTTGGCATCAACAAGCCAACAACACATCTAAAATGAGACCCACCCTCTGAGAAAGAAGCTGCCTGAGGAGCTGCTCCCTTCCAGTCACTCTCAGCAAGCATCCTGGGACACAGACAGCAGGCAGAGGCCACTGGGCACTCGGGTTCCCCAGCACCATCAGTGCAGCACTGTGACTGCAAGAGCATGCACTTGTGTCCTGCCTGCTGCTGTCCCATCTCTGGCCTGTTCAAGAGACAGCAGAGCCCAGACACCAAATGCCTCCTCCTCCAGCCATCCATCCAAAGAGCTTCTGTAAAACTACTTTGTACATTTCCCCTAATTTCAGTTCAGTCATGGCAGATCAGCCCACAGGATTTAAATGCAATTTTCTCATTGAGATATACTAAGTCTTTCAGGTCTTTCAGGGAAGGAGACAAAACTATGTAGAATCCATAGAAATTAGAGTAACATTTCTCTTCTGCATTTTTACATTTTATTACTATTTAGCATTAACCTTTTCTACTTCCAAATCATTAACTAATTTTATATTCCACTATCAGATATGGGGCTTAAGCTACAGGAAACAGGAGATCACTCTTTGTTTCATATATACATGAGCTAAAATATAACATGGAACCCAGTGGTCATTGCTTCTCAGAACCAAGCCCAGAGAAATCAATTCGCTCAAGGCACACTAGAGTCTGCTTGTTCAAAGAGGATGCAATGATACTGATGATACATGGATTCCACTGCAATGCACCCAGCTCAGCTCAGTGTTTCAGCCCAACGGAGCTTCTCCCTCTGCTCCCAGGGTCATCTCCATCAAATTTAAGCACAATAGCTGGGAATCTGGGACCTAAGAACTCGGACAGTAAATACTGCAGCCCGAAAAAATCAAAAGAGAATGTTTAATAACAGATAAGCTCTCCGCTAAGATGCACAGAGCACCACTGCCTGTCAGCAGCAGTGGAGGCTAGCTGGAACTGCTTTCTTGCAAAGCATCACATATGAGTTGTCATTCCAGGGACAGAAACTAGGCTTGATGGATACAGAGTTAAATTAATGATGACCCTTTCTATGTTAGCTGCCTGAGGGTGGCAAGCATCTGCCACAATCATTGTTCTAACAACTGGCCTGTCTGCTGGGGACCTGCAGGGCATCTCCTGCCTCAGGAGAGTCCAGCCAGATCCAGAGCCACTGTCTCAACACACTGCACCAATCCAGCTAAGTGCTGTGCTCCCAAGACAACTCACACCACAGGAGTTATTCTAAGATCAGCCCAACCTTCTGGAGAGAGGATCTGAAAAGCTCACTAGAGCCTCAGATGGAACAGCAAAGGGAAACTAGGGTTCATCTATCCCACTGGCAATGCCTGGCAGCCCAGGATCCTGTCAGTTCAGCTCTCATGGGATCAGAATCTACACCACTCTGAAGAAGAATGAGGTTCTCCTGGTAGAGCACATGGCATGTACTGTTACAGAGAGGAGCAACCAATCTAATCACCCTGTCAGGTCAAAGCAGCAGCTCCTGCCAGAGACCAGCAATTTGCCACTGAAACCAATTCCTGCCAAAGGTGTTGGGGTGCTGCTGGAGCCTCAATATACTGTTGATGAGCTGCCACATGGATCTCTCACAGTTGTGTACTGATAGCTGATGGAGTATATCCTTAAAGACGAGTTTCCATCATTTAGTATGTTTGTTTTCTCTCCCTGCTTTCTTTCCAGATGCCAAGCCTTCTTTAAAAAGAAAGCACACAAAGCAGCATTTAATTTATAAAACACTACTTTCTTTCTGAAATTTCAGCAAAGCTAAAACTTGACTTGAAAATTAACATCAGCTGCATTTACTCTACACGTAATTAATTCACTTCAACCAAGTGCTTCCTTGGGAAAGAGAACAAGTCACAAACATATTCACCTGTCATTGAAAAAGGCAGACAAAGTAAATAATTCAAGAGGTTTAAAAATAAATTCACACATTTATAGAGGCAAACTTCCAAGCTTCTTTTCATCTCCTCTCTGAAGCACCCTGCTGTATGTAATGGAACAGTAATACAAATATAAAGGGAGAGAACACAGGACAAGTCCTGGGCTTGACTTACTTGGAAACCAAAGGAGTCTGTTTGCAGTGACAGAGCTCTGTAGAATACAGACAAAGGCTCCTGGATTTGCAGTTGGGCCCAAAAGAACCAGACCCTTGATATTCTGGAAGAAAATCCTGGCTTTCAGAGCAGATCAGGTTCTTTTGACTGGATCGGGGAGGGAACCTGCAGTGCCTCCTCAGAGCTCTGTGAAAGGGGATATACAACTGTGTTGTCTAACAGGAACCACATCAGCTTTGCTGCTGCATTTATGATGCAGTATTCATTACTACTGTGGCTCCAGCTGGTACTTTCAAGTCTTACATTTATTCTCAGCATTCTTACTAGAATGAAATAGTACTGCAGGTCCATCAGTGAGGGGGCTGGCTGCCCCTGCTCTTCCTGAGGTTCTGTGTGCTTCTGAAGGATGCAAGGAGAATGGCACGTACCTGGCTCCGCTGCTGTGGACTTCTGTCCCAGGCTGGGTGCTGGCAGACCTCACCATAGTCTTTTGCCCAGAAGACACTGCTCAGGGACTTGCCCCGGAAGACTGCCCCTTCACCAGTAAAAAAGCATTTCAGAAATGATGGGCTTGGAGATGATCCCTAGAAAGAAGGAGGAAGAGCCTTTCCTGGATCCACTATGCCCAGGATATTCTGAACCAGGGCAGTAAGGCTACAGAGGATTGATGTTCCTTCCACCTCCAATATATGCCTGACTATTCTACACAGAATTGGGAAACATAATTCCTAATACCAGGTAATAATGATCTGGGACTTTTAGTATCTTCAAAATCTGTAGAATTTTATTTCCTAGAGTGTTTGAAAATTACTCTTTGCTAACGGCTAGCAAAATGTCTTTGAAGATAAACATCTTTCCAGGGGCATGTCAGGTAGCTCAGAGCAGTCACCATCCCTTGGGATAGAGGAGTCACAGCTCACCCAGAGGTGAGGAGTCCCCAGTTCAGCACTCAGACTGAGGTAGAGAACTGTACAGAGACAGAGTCCCAGCAAAGAGCTCCCTTTAAAGTATACAGTAGTCAGGTCGTATTTTGTCTGTAATATTCCCAGTGCTGATGCTTTTTTTGCTCCCTTGACATCAAACAAACTATCCTCTCCACTTTCAGGTCCAATCTGCTTTATTTTTGAGAAATCCATTTTTCCCTCTTTCATAGCAGCAGCAACAAGAGTGGGAAGGTCTTTGGCACCTAAGACAGAATTCCTTGCAATGCCTTCTTGCTGAAGTCAAGAGGCTTCCTGTCACGTCAACTTAAATACACCAACCTCATACAACAAAAAATGTGAAGTCACCTTTCAGCAAAGAGCAAAAAATGGCAATTTCTGTCAGATCCATCCAAAGCAGTGATAGCATATTATTCTTTAATGCAGTGTCAGATACTTTCATGGTACAAAGGAACTATATGGATGTTATTATACACTACCCAAATATTTTGTGCTGAACCCCGTTTGGGCAGCTCTGTGGCAGGATGCTCTCACTCCTTATCAACCTCATGAGCATGTGGCTTCCTGAAAAGACTGTGTTTTATCTTTCACTACATGAAGAGTTCCTGTTTTCTCTTGGTTCAGTATACACACCTCCATATTGAACAGCACTTTGCTCACATGATGCCTGCTTTCCCAGAGTAGTTTAAAAAGTCCTTCCAGTGTGTGCTGGCAAGAGACAGGGTCCCAGCAGGCCTGCAGCGCCAAACACTTGGACTTTATGATGCAGGCCAGATGGAGCAGACAGCCAGCATTCAGACTGACAAAAAAGGGATTCTGTTAGCATCTCCTGTGGGGACTGCATGGGACACCAGCATTCTTTGGACCCATGAAAACTGGCTTACAGATGGTTATGACAGAGAGGGAAAAAACTCTCTTACAAATGTAGTTCCCTGAAACTGTTCCTCCTTGCAGAAGCATAGAAAGAAATGAGGAAGCTGTGGGTGTCCGTCTTGAGGTGTGCAGCAGGAGTAGGATAACTCAGGTTATGTTGCTTTGTGACCTGTGATGATGGCTGAACACTGGGGATCTCCCAGGAGCTGGCTGAGCCAAGACTGAAGAGGAGTTGGTAAAGATGTGCTTTGGATCTAGCACAGAGGCAAGATGGATCTGGATCTGGAAGCCTGGCACAGAGCCCTGTGGTCATCTGCTGAGGGTGAGGGAAGAGGAGCCTTGAGTCAGCACAGCTTCTGTCAGAACTGCTCTCAGTCTGCCTCAGCAGCCACCACTCCTCTGCTTGGGAGGAAGGAGAAGAGCTCCTCTTTGATAGAATTTCATTAGTTCTCTTTTGTAATCTCAGCAACAGGATGGAAGCAGATAATGTGCAATTTGTTTTAATTCAACTTTATCTTGTCAGTCCTAGCTAAAACACTGCAGCAAACATCATTCTGAAGAATAGAGATATGATGGAGCAGGTGAGATTCTGCAAACCCTATTGATTACATCACAAGTCATCACTATAAATATTTGAAGGAGAGAAAAACTCTTGATCTAAACATGTTCATGTAACAAATTGTGCAATCGAGAGTGAGTGAGAGATGGTTCTAACAGGAGAGGGGGGGATGCTAGACAGCAAAGCATTTAAGCTGCTTACCTTTCAACCCAAATAACATCCATTAAAAGGAGCATTGTGGAATTCTATCTGTGAGAAGAGAAATACAAAAGGCTCAGTGTGCAGGAGCCTCAAAAGCACATGAATGAAGTGTGTCATGAAGGAAGCACTGTGTTTCTAATCACTACAGAGAAACTAAAGCACTTTCTACCTCCTTTTGGGGCCAAGAGCTGCTGTGAAAATGAGGAAGCCTAGAATTGCTGGGTGTAGAAGGGTGCTGACAGCCTTTACAGACAGGAGAACACCAGTGTAGCACAGCAAACTCTGCTCGGTGTTCCAGATTTGTTACTTCTCATTGTGCCAACACTTCTCATTGTGCAGGAAGCAGAGAACAGGGATGTCTGGCAATCCCTGTCCTGCCTGCCCTTGTAAAAACCCTGGGCTCTTGTTGTTCTTCAGAACAAAGACAAATTCTGGGGAAAGGCAATGCATGCTGTCAGCACAGCAGTCAGAAGCAGCTGAGGGCTCTCACCAGGTCTGCGCAGAAGTGATGTACACAGCCACTGGCTGCCCTGCCAGAGCCAGCACCTGTGGCCACAAAGCCTATTCTTTCCTTGTCTGTAGAAAGGAACCCTGATTCAGTCAGTTTGTATTGATCCTCTTTTTGTTATTTTTATGAGAAATTAATTGGGAGGCAATTTTCCCTCTGTTTAAACTTGAGGAGATATTGTTGAAGGACTTGTGACACTTCTTTCTCTGACAACTTTATTGGGTAATAGCCACAGACAGTAGAGGTGTGCACAGTCAGTCAGACCTTTAATACTATGTGTGTTCCCATAAAAAATGATTGGGTTTAAAGCATTCTTCTAGCATTGTTGTGATTGTACCACAGGACCAAGCAGCCTAAAAGGCAGATGTGAACTGAAGGCAGATCAGTAAGTGTGCCCTGATCCTCCCTGTCCTCCATGCCCAGCAGGTAGAAGCCTCCCCTCTTCAGCAGGTCAAGGACGAGAGCATGGAACCCATCAGGTAAACAGAGGGGCTAAGAATCTAGATCACACTGGATAAGTGCCTTTAACTGATACACACACCTTTGGCACTAGCTCCCTTGTCATCTAATTCCTGCAGGTATTTATTAATGAAACCTTCCTGATTGTTGATTCATTTGCTTGTTAAAGCTTGTGGAACTTGTGCTGTTATTATTCATTGTTATTAATGTTCACAACTCAGCCTGTCTCTTTCCAATATGTTCCACAGAGGAAATCGAAGGCTGAAGCCAATCTTTGCAGTAAATGAGTGATGGAGATGCTGGAGGACAGGACAGAGCCTGTTGCTCTGGGACTAAGGCAGGTTTTGGAAAGGATGTTAATCTTCAAGCATAGGGACTGCAAAATGAGTAGCTGTTTCAAGTGTGTTCTTTGGTATGTGCAGTGCTTGCTCAGTTAAGTCACCAAGGGAGCATCACCCTAACAAAACTGTCTGTGCACAGGAGCAGTGACCCAGGCCAGATTCTGATCCGTGTGCAGAAATAGGTCTAGACATGTTCAATACAACAACCCACACATATGCTACAGGCCACATGCAAAGCCTTGCAGAAAACACTTCTCCATGTGATGGTTGAGAATGTACTAAGGAAAAGCAGAGCTGGATAACCTCTGGAAGTTCTATTCACTCCTCTGCAAGGTATAGAACAACACCAGAAGCACACAGCTGGTGGAACCCCAGACTTCAGGAGAGCAAGACCCCAGTGTGCTGAGTTGGGATGAACAGCATGCTGCTTGCTTTAGCATGTTCCCTTTCCTCCCCTTCTGCAAGCCTCCTTCACCTTTTCACAGCCTCTTTGCTGCACAAATATTTGCCCATTCTTACAGAGCATATAAACGCTGCAGGCCAGGATGGTCCTGCTCCTGTCTGTTTGGTAGTTGGAATGCTTCTAAATCTTCAGCAGTGCTGTTATGCCGTCTCTCCAGAACAATGTATTTATTCAAGTTATATCTTTGGAGCCTACAGAACCATCACATACCATATTCAAACCATTATTCATCTCAAACAGAGAATTCTGCAAAGCAAGAGGAAATAAAAGAGAGTTTAACACAGCTTTACTAAAATGGAATTTGCCAAAGACTCACAGAAAAATGGATTTAATTAGGGCTGCTAATGGGGAACAGTTTGTTCCTGTGATTTAAAACAGAAGTTAGATAGTGTCTGTAATTCCAAGATTTCTAAATTATATATAGGGGGTTATTTCTCATTTCTACCTTAATTATAAAAATCCATCTTTATGAATCACAATTTTAAGGCAAATAAAGAAATGGCAGTAAAAATGATGTTTTAGTTAATAAAACTTTTAAAAACTCACCAAAGAAGCAAAAGACTTCAGCATGGATAAAACAGACTTAACATAGCAAATCATAGTTGCAGGCAGTCCTCTGGATACTACTTGAGAACAGCATATCAAGGTTAATTGATTTACTTAGGAATAGGTGTGTAAAGGAAGGTGTGTTCTGTTACAAGAAATAAAACCAGGTGTCTATTTTAGGGAATAATGGGAATGTCCTCCATTTAATTTCACAGCTAGGTCTGTCTAAGTTGCAGGCATTAATTGGCCTGACATGCTCTGGATAATAATCCCGAATCCTTGAATTCTCTGCTACCCATTCTTACACTGACTACTGTAAAATTTTCTAAATTGCCTGCAAATTATTAGTCCCAATTAAAGGGGATACAATTATAGAACTGTGAGCTTCTTCTGCAGCCTTTGGTTTTACTTAAAACTAACAAATGTTGGTTTTGTGAAATTTCTCCTGTTAGCTGACTCTGACCATGTAACCCAAGTGAGTCCCAGCATTGTAAAGCACTGAATAAATTAATTACAAATATCCCAGACAACTGATAAGTAAGCTGGGCCCAGCTGCTGTCACTGCTGCAGATTCTTCACCAACCATACTGCATTTTAACATTACACCTTGGATCAGAACAAAATCAATGAGTGAAGTTCAAATGTGGCACATTTCCTATTTCTCTGACAGCTTATTTCATGGATCACAGGGACCAAAGTACAGCTGCTTATTCAACAGAGGAAAGAATGAATTAATTTTCATTCTTTAACACACTGTGTGACCTATTCTCTTATGCTCTATCCTTTACAATGGCTTCAGTCTCTTCAAGACCTTCAGATTTGTCAGATAGAGAAAATTTAAAATAATGACAAAATGCCCTGCCCTAGGTCTGCTTCCAACTGACTGACTGTTCTGCTGGTAATAAGTCCAAATGGAAGCAATTAGGTCACTCAGATTGAATTAAACAGACAAATTATAGTCCTAGATCATTAAAAATGAACCAATCTTTGGGAAGATTGCTGTGATTTCACTCCAAGCTCCCCACAAAAGGCACTGAATGCCATAAAGCTTTTGATCCTCATGTGCTCCAGTTTCTTCCTCTACTTCAAACATGAAGGACTAACACGACAGAATGGCAGCCAGGCAGCAGCTGCTGACCTGCACGGTGCACAGGTGGCTCCTGTGCCTGCCCTGTGCAGCAGCACTGAGGCCAGCTCAGGGCACCAAGGTCAGCAGGCAGACAGACACAGACGCACAGGGCCCCCTCCCAAACCACTGTCCCAAAGACCCTGCCACACTACAAGGATACCAGAGCTGTACTGCTCTGCTTACCCCACCAGACTCCCTGAAGCTAGCAGATAATGTCACAGTTCTTTAGGCACTGCCAGTTGGGCAGAATTAACACAATGAAATGCATAATTTTTCAATTTCAGTGTGAATTTATTTTTTTTTTTTTTTTTTTTAGAAATAGCCCTAGGTATTGTGGTTTAAAATACCTTCTGTGTACCCTGTGTTTGTATTCTTTTACTGTTAACCCCAGTTCATTGGTGACACTTGCACAGTTCCTGTCATTGATAACTTCGTATCAGCCTGTGCTTTTTACCATAATCAATTTTCAGATAAGGAACCTTATATTCTGCAAAGGAGAACAAAGCACAAGGGTGAGTGCTGTGGTCACCCTCGGCAGCCATGGGCACCACAGGCATGCTGGCACCACAGAGTCAAGGCAGCAGGGTCCCCTGCAGTGCACGGCAGTGGGCAGCGGCCTGGCACCACAACAGAGGGGCAGCTAAAGAGTTGGGCAGCTCCCTGGGGGCTCCCCTGGCAGGGGAGACCCTCCTGGTGCAGTTCTGTGTCAGGAACGAGAGACGCGTTGGACTTTTTCGGTCTTCAGTTTCTGTTTATTGTTATCAAAACTTCAGCACACTGTCTGTGCCCAGACCTTGCATGCATGAAAGCAACACAAAAATGGCCAACAACCTCGTGCTGCAAGGTCTTTTTAAGTCTAATCAAAAACTAACTACCCAATGAAGAAGTGACACCTAAATTATTTTCCTTTCTAACCCAATAACTGACCCCTGAAGACCTGCAATGCAGATTTTTCTACCCAATTACAAGATACTACCTCAACCCAGGAAGAAAGAGGAAGAAGAATAGAGAAGGAACTTGAGATAACACCCTATATCCTCTATATTGTACCTATCTACAATATGCTAAAAATCCTAAAATCTAAATTTCTCAACTACGGCATGTACTACACTACTCTCTACAATCTATTTCACATTTTTGCAGTTTCTAGTTTACCATGAGGCTTTGGAAGTTTTCTTCATGAATGAGGGTCAAAGTCAGTGTTTTCCTGGGAGTCAGAGCACCCCAGGGCAGACAAGGGGATATTCCCCTTGCCCTGGGTTCCCACACTAAAGTGCTACACAGATGGTGGAGCTGATAGCATGGCCCAAAGTAGAAACTCTGAAAGTGACCAAGACACTTCTATCAGCAAAGAGGAGTTCTGGATCTCCTTTTTCAAACTCTTCTCCTGCCTCATTCTACTTTATGGCTGACCCCATGAGATTTGCCTGGCCTTAAGACATAAAAGTAATAAATCCGGCCTTACCAGGATATTACCCAGATGAAACACACATATCACAGACAGCTTTTATTTGCTTCTCTCTCTGCATATCCAGTAGTTCAAATCTAGGGCTTTCAAAGCAGTGGATTTGACAAATATCAGTACTTCAGGACACATAGTAGACAAATTGCTTTTTCCAGTTCATAAGATGAATCTGGGACAAGCATGAGTTACTAAATGGTTGCAGAAAATGTTCTAGTCCAGACCTGTGTTTTAGCAGGCCATGAGATGTATCAGAGGTTGCTGGTTTGCTTTGTTTTCCCCTGAGAGACTAATTTTCATTTTTTATTTTTCTGCCTTTTGTGAAGGAAGACCAAAGACCCATCACAGCTCAGGATGGCTCAGCAGTAGTAGCCATTCCACTTGCTGCTATAGTGCAGAAGTAAAGAGGACAGTCACCTTGTGAGAGCTGCTGGCTGTGGCAAAAATAGGTTAGAAACTCTTGTAAAATAGTTGATAATTGGTAAGTATGTACTGTTAGTTTGGTTATTACATTTTAAAAGGGGTTAAAAGGGTAGTTATAAGAAATACGGTACTGAACATACCATATTACACCTAAGTAAAATGCACCACGCCCCCAGCAAAACTCAGCCTGGACAGAACTGTAATGGGCCTCAAACCTTCATGCAAATGAAAGATCCCAAGAGAAACTAATCCAAAGGAACAAAAAAAAAAAAGGATAAAAAGGGGGCATCCGACCCAGTCAATCTGTGCTGTTCTACCTGGAACATGGGGGACATCGCTGGTCAAGAAATAAAGAAGACCCAGTGCCACTGGGTCTTCTTTACTTCTTCACTGCAACATCCTCAACAGGAACTCTCCTGCTTGACCCATGGGCCCCCTTGCTTTAGGCCTTATTATAATAAATGCTGATATCATGTTTAGTTCTGGGAGTGTGGTCCCGTTTTTAGCACTACCTCAGAGGTTATGCTCAGCATGCCTGTCAGCAACACCCATTTGTCCCCCGGCTAACGGAGATAAATGCCAACTATGCTGTGCTGAAGTAATGTTCACAATGGACTTCTAACAAAACCTTTTTCCTTCATACAGTACAAATTAACAGTCTGCAGCATTTGAAAAATGGCCCTAATCCCTGTCCATATGGGGAGTTTGTTGTCAGTACAAAGTGCCAGATTATGACAACAATATATACTTTAAGTGGGTGAAAATGAATGAATAGCAAGACCCTGACAGTGCTGCTATTCCTCAGTGCTTAGGAGCTGGGTAAAACTGACAGTGCAAGATGAATATGGCACTGAGATGTTACTTGCATAGCTGGTCAGGAGAATCCAGACTTACTTGCCATTACAGATGGGTTAATTCCAAAGGCAGCATTTCATTCTGAGCCATAGTTGCTCTCTGAGGAAATAGGGAAGGTCAATCACATTTTTCACACACTGAATTGCAGGTGATAGTCCCATTTATGAAGAAAGCATCGGATGATCCTAGAAAGAAAGGATGCAAATTTGCCTGTTGCCTCTGTGTTCTCAAGAGCAGGCTGAACTCTCCTGCCCACCCCTGGAGGATCCAGCTAAACGGAAGTGGACAACTTGCCAACAACTACAGTCAGGAAGGCAGGACTGTCCCCAGCTGGAGGGATCACCATCACACACCAAATATTCATTAGCCCATTTTCATAGCATAAGCATCACAAGGTGCCAGGGAACTTATTTGCTATCAGGATGACAGAAGAAAGCCAATGTGATCCCAGGATCACATGTACTCTTTACCAGGAATGCTGTGGAGCCCAGATGTACTCAGGATTTCAACAGGCTTCAGAGACACTCCTGCTAGTTCAGAGCAGCGGTCGAACACAGACACTGCTCCACAAGGACTCTGATCATGCTCTGAAGAACTCCTCACCTTGTCTGCCACAGGTTTTTCAGAAGCATCTGCTAATGGCTATGGCCAAAGAGAGGCCCTAAGTCAGCCAGCCTCCCATGCCTTAAGGAGCTTTCTCTCAGATTACTTCCAGGGTGGTGCTGAGGATCCTTCCATGGCTTGTCACTGCCAGTAGCCAACAGCAGCACTCCCCAAGCTCAACAGAGGATCCCCAGTAAGGGGAGGCCCTGTGTCTCAGTTACCTCTGACCATCCCCATGCAGTGCTGTGGGACATCCCCTACACCTGCAGCATCAGGTAGGCTACATCATCAAAGCAGGCTTGGCCTGCAGCAGCAGGCAAGGGTCACTTATTCCCCAAGACTTGACACAGCTGCACCTTGTTCCCACTTCAGCTTAAACGCAATCAAGGGCAGATCTTCCTTGTCCTCAGAAGATACTAGCATGTCCCTTACACCTGTACCTCTTTCCAGGAGTAAAGATTTCATATGACAATAACCTTGCAGTACAGTATCCTGGTGAAATCACGATTGCAGTGATGTCAGGATGGTCTCTGAGCCTCTTACCCAGGCATCCCCCTCCCCAGGAGAAGCTGGTTCCTGTAATTACAAAGTGGAGTCATATTAGAGGAAAGCTAATCAGTTTGCTGGATGCCAACAAATTAAATATTAATCTAACTATTGTGAAAACAAAAATACTCAACTTCAGATATTTTCTGGCACAAGTGTCAAAATCATAGTGGAACTAAGACTTTATTCATTTTCCATTATCAATTTAGATAAAAACACTCAGAAAAATGGGCAATGATGTGCAGAAACCACTCAGCACAGATAATTACAGAGTAAGTTTAGGCAGCTAATCACTTCTAGAATATGCTTTAGATCAAGATAACTGTCTGGCTTGTTTCCTTGGCTTGTTAAATCAGGCAGATTCTCTGCTTTGCCTAATGGGCATGGAGCTCCCAGAGTCAGCATCTTTAACTAACAATAGGGCTGTCTGGCAGGCATGCTTATCCCACCAGTCAGCAGCCGGACTGGGAGATGTTATCCCTTCATCAGGAGAGCAAGACACAGCAGAGGCAACAGTGGCACTTGGGGCAGGCAGTGAGCAGGGTAGGGACAGTGGGAGAAAGGCAGGGTAGAGCAGGGTTTCTGTGGCAGCAGACAGACAGCAAGCCACAAGCAAGGACATTCTGAAGAAGGATAAGCAGCTGCAGTGACAACAGTGGGACAGGAAGACCAAGTGAGGGAAGATGTAGCCTTGCTTGGGGCTACTCCCTGCAGGATACCAGCTCTGGCCTTCATGGCACTCAATGAGGGGCTCTTGGGGCTGCCCAGGAGCTCCTGCACAGCACTCATGCCCACCCTGGGCACTGCCACCAGCCACAGTCAGAAGAAAGAACTCTACTGAGACCAACGGATTCTCCTTTGGGGGAATCTCTGTGAGCACGAGACAATTTTCCACAGCTCTTCCTCTGGCATGTCAGGCCCAACGTTCCCAGGACTGCAAGTTCACGAGCTTTGTGCTGCAGTTTCAACAAAGGCCTGAGTGCTGCTGGCAACCACAGCAGCAAGCAGGAAGGCGAGCTCCAGCTGGCTGTGGGACAGGTACCATGGATGCCATTGGTGCACTAGGGACAGCAAAAGGGGCACCCACATGAGCCAGAACACACTAAGCTGCAGTCTGCATAGTCTGTATATGCCAGCACCTCACTACTGCATTTACGTTATTCAGATGGAAAAAACTCCCCTTTATACCTTAAAGTCAGTAACCCTTACGTCTCAATTTACATCAGAGTTTTCATTTGAACTAAGGCAAGAATTATTTTTACAACAGCATTCATGGATATTCTCTCATCTCCTTTTTATTAACTTTGCTGTAGAAAAAAAAAAAAAAAAAAAAGGTATTTAGAAATTCCATCAATATCAACAAATTTTGTACTAAAGATCTTCTAATGAAGAAGCAACATTCACTTTTGCTTTATTTAAAGGAATAAAAGGATAACTATAGTTCTATGGATGCTCTTGTGCAGCTTCTTAAATTTGAAAGCCTGCTAGAAATTATGCCTGACTTACTATCTGCTTTATTTTACCAATCCTAAAAGATAGTAGAGTGAAATAAATTGGGAGTTTAAAGAACCCACAGGCACTTCACCAAGACACAGACCTTCAGAGATGGCAGCAGTTCTGTTAACATGGTGCTCAGTATACTGCTTTGAAATGACAGTGCCTCTTCCTGCCAAGAACTGTGCACCAGCTGAACTCTTCAGTGATGTCACAGAATGATGCTTGGCAAGTTCTGCTCTGTGCTAGAACTGCTTTGGAGACAAATGAAGACAGTCCATATTTACTTCCCTTAGCACATTCTGTGTCCATCCTTTCTTTGGTTGTAATGATGAGCCTGTATTCTGTGGAATGCTGAGCTGCACTATCTCTCACCCTTAAGATCCCCATCAGGTAGAATACTATGGGGAAGTGCCAGCCATGGATTTTTCAGAGTGGTCTCCAAGATTTGCCTCACCATTGAAAATGCATCTCTCTAGAGATACACAAACTGAAGGAGAAGCTGTTCCTGGGGATTACATATCCCAAAGCACCTCTCCCAGCTATTTATAAATTACATAGCTAAACAGGGATTGCTGCCAGAGTTTCTTCTTCCACCAGCGTTGTTTATTCTGATCCAGTCTGACCCTGAAAAGCAATAGCTTCCCTGAAAAAGGCATAGTCTGTTCTGTTTTTTAAGTAACCAGCAATCTTTCATCCATCTGGATTTAAGAAAGCCACAATCTTTGGGTGTATTCTGCTTAGGATCACAAGGGCTTCACACATGATACTGACAGAAGCCAGTGAATTATTCCAGCTGAGCCTAAAAACAACTCAAGCTTTTGTCAATATAAACCAAAAATGACCGTGCTCTCATTCTGTAAGAAATTGTGGTATTAGAAAGCATAGGTTTGACAAGACAAGATAAAACCTACACTCTTCAGATTCCAGTAGGTCTATGCCATATTAATTATTTATCAACAAGTTTTCTTAAAGTAGTGTCTCTGTGGCTTTAATTTTCAATTCGCTTAATGCTAGGAGGATCTCTTCTGGCAACACATAAATTATTAACAGAGTTAAAACAATATTTGTTTTGCCCCAAAAACATTTTTGAATGCTGTCCTCATACCACTTAGGTTTCTCTGAAACTTTAATGAAGGTCTATAATTTCCTCCAGACTCATGGCTGAGGCACGGGCTTCGTTGGGCCTTTGATTTGGCGGTGGAAGCACATGTGGCACCACATCATCACACTGTTCATCCCACTGGTGCTGGGGAGTGATCAAGCTATGATGAGGCACGAGAAACAGCAGCATTTATGTAATTGGGAATTTCAGTTACCAAGTTCAGAGGTTCTGTTTTTCTAGTGACTGTTCTGCATTTTTTTATTTCAGCAACTGTCCCCTAGGCTCAGCAGAGAGAGCCCATGCTTCACTCTGCTTGGAATACTTTTCTCCTAACAAAGAAAAATATAGTGCAGTTCCTTTAATCTACAAGAGAGCCATTTTGATTCAGCAAAAGGATACTTGAAACATCATGGGTTTAAGAACTTTATGCAATCTCAGCCACTTCTCTGCCAGGGAGCATATAAAAAATTAAAACCCCAAATATTGCTTCTGGCTCTTCTAGGCCCTAATTACAAATACATTTTCAAAAGGAGGAGTCAACTTAAGTCTAATACTGTGCGAAATCTCATAATTTCAATACAGTCTTCACTTGATGTGGATTGGTAATTGGAGCTGTGGAATCAATTTTTCCCACACTTGAAACACTCAAATGAGTATGAAATGTGTTGCATTTGTTCCATGCACGTTTACAGTTCTGCACTTTTCTTAGAGTGGAATGATCATTCTGATGTATTTTTTATAACAGAGCAACATTTCCTCAGACTTTGATGTTTCATGTACAGAGCTATTATAACCAAATGCCATTTAGGTGCATGATCCATAGCTAATCTCCAAAGCTTTGATGCATGCAATAATTATTACTATTGATGTCATTGCACCATATTTAAAATATGAACATCTAATTGTAAGTCTACAGCTAACAGAAAAGAAAGGCAATCAGTCCACACCACGACAGGAAATTCCCTGTTGGTAAACATCTGAAAGCATGTAAGATGACATTCCACAGGCTCCAGCGAGGCACTGACTGTGAGTGCAAGGGTTCTGAGAGCAGAAGGGTGATGCAATGCGTGTGCTGGCCTCTGCACTGAGAGAAGCTCTGGGAAATTGAGAACTGGGGTCTCCAGTTACAAGATTACTTATTCCGACAATCTGTTTTTGAAGTTTGACCCTGAACTCAGGCACATGGCATGTTTCAGCAGCTCCTGCACCTAGGCCTCTGAGCAATTTTATCTGTGCCCTGTGTCACTGGCGTTCTGGAGACCAATATTCATTCAAACTACCATTTCCAGACCTGACTAAGCAGAACACCTGGAAGTGCTTCAGAGCTCTCTTCTGCCTTTTTATGAAATCTGGGTCTGAATAGATTGTTAACTGGGACATTGTCATGAATGTTTTCAATGAAGGCTGAAAATGTGTGTGCCTGTATTAACATTTACAACTTGCTAAAATGTACCTTACAGATCTCTAATTAGACTCAAACAAACAGCATTAAAGTATTTAGTTAATAGTCCATTTATGCTACTGGCAACTGTTTCTGGAAAGTAAAATTAACAACTCTGAACATCTGACTAATAGGAAAAACATTTATGTTTTGATTGTACATGAACGTTAATGGTTAATAAATTTTCAAAGCTTCTGTATCAGAATGAAATCAGTATTTCCTTTTATTGCCTTAGCATAATGCTGTAACTGTGGAAAAACTTACTAGAAAATAATGACAGAAAATAGACCAATGTCTTCAGCCTAAAAAGTCACATGGATCTGAATGCACTGGAAATAGTCTGCCTGGAGCATATAGGACAAGATTAGTTTGCTTCTGAAAGGTGGAAGGCTGAAGCTGCTAAGCTCAGCCCGTGCCCAGGGATACCTGGGATCATCCTGCAGCACGGTCTGGCTTACACAGCAGCTGGCACTAAGCTAATGCTGTCACCCTGCCAATCCTTACAGACAGAGGTGTGCCACCAACTAAACTGTGGCCCCTGCAAGCCAAGCTGAGCACAGGGACCATCATGTCCAGCCAGGGTCTGCCCTTGTGCTGCTGTGCAGTGAGACCACCTTTCCACACTTCCATAAGAGGTGCTAATTACAGCTGCCTCTGCCTTGCTCAGGCTCCTCTGGTTGGTCTGATATGTTACATCTGAGTAGAAATTTCATTGACTTTATTACCTATGGACACTTTTACATAGCAAGATCAAGAGACAGAACACAAAGAGTGATGAGCCCAAAAAGAGAATAAGAACAAAAGGCCATCAAGGGTAGATGCAAGGATTGGGGTCTGAGGGCATGTGAAAGCATTGGCAGTTAAGGAAGAGAAGAAGTGCTTTGGAGGCACAAGGCAATTGGACAAAGACATTCATCATCCACTGCCTGCATACCTCATTGTGCCTCCCAGCCTTACTCCACAATTACGACCAGAGCTGTGGCTTTTATT